ATGAAAACATTCTACAGCACTAATAGAAACCCCTCTAAGCTCCTTCAGGGAAGGCTTTTGGACTTCCTCAGAACATGAACTGGCTAGAAAAGGCACACCAAGAGGAGCCAGAACCTCTCCCAAATGGCCCATGCCCACGGCCACAAGACACTCAACCCTGCACCTTAGGGCGCCACCAACTCACTTGTTGCACATCAGCAGCACTTCTAGCTCCTTGACGTTGTGGACCAGGAACTTGCGGAAGCCACTGGGCAGCATGTGCTTGGTTTTCTTGTTGCTCCCATAACCAATGTTGGGCATCAAGATCTGGCCCTTGAATCTTCTCCGCACCCTGTTGTCAATGCCTCTGGGTTTACGCCAGTTGCGCTGAAAGAAATCACACACTGGTGGTTGCATGTCTGCAAACCGCCAATTCTTGGGGGGAGGGTGGCTAACAGACCCCACTATTTTACATGGCGTTTTGGTGGGAAAAGCTGGGGCTTTGGCATTTGAACACCAAAAATGTAACCTACAAAGGGGTGTGGGGAGAGACCCCATATACCATCCTAAACAAAGCAAGAGAATAAACACTGGTAGGATGTTAGGGAGCTATGTTAAGATATCGCATGGCCTTGCCCATTTCCTCCAGGATAATAGCTCTTCCTTGGAGCTGCTGGTAGGCTGGCAGTTTACCCCCTAGTGTGGTCTTAAGGCCTTAGGAAATCCACGATTCACCAAAAACTCAGTGACCCTGTAAGCTAGGGAATTAGCCCAGTTTGAAGGTGGCTTCCCAGGTTGCAATCTTCCTGGAAGTAGATAGCCCCAGTGTCGTCCGTCCCCTCCCACCTGCACCCCCTGCTGCTGGGGGTCCACATTGGCTAGCAGCGGAGTGCTTGAGCACTGTACAATCAGGACTTCTTCAGAGTCCCACACCCCATCAACTTGATTCTGACTGGCAGCAACTCTACAGGACAGACTACAGCTGCCCCAGAGACTAAATCTTTATGAAAACAAAAAATGGAAATAGCTTATGTTTCTTTAAAAGAGCAGCTCAAGAAAACCAGGGAGACCAGGGTTTCCACCAACCTGGAACTAGAGATTAATTTCCAACGGTGTGATGTGATGTCAGAAACATAAGTCTTCCCACCCACCCCAGGGGCCACCTACCTTAATCTTGACATAGCGGTCGGATTGGTGCCGGATGAACTTCTTGGTCCTCTTTTTTACAATTTTAGGCTTCACCAAGGGTCTGAGGGCAGCCATGATGCCTTCAAGAAAGAAGCAGACCTCAGTCAAGTGAGTCCTGGAAAGAGGCCTCCTTGCCCAGGGCCTGAACACGGTCGCAGTCTCTTCCAATCACCAGCTACTGAGCAAACTGGGAATTGAGTGGGTCTCTCTGACAGGCTTGTTTTCCCTCCCATCTCTGAAGCTGGCAGAATACTAGCTATTCTCCAGATGCGATCCTAGGAGGTCAGGGCCACCTCATCCAGAGACCAAAAAAGATTGCCAGAAGCAGACCCCAAGACTGCGCTTGGCCTGCAAGCAGCAGCAAATCCCACCGTCACAACTACGCCAACTTCCAGATCCGCTCAATTCCCTGTTGAATGGCGGCTTGTTCTCAAATGGATGTACTACAAATTGAAGGCGTGCACCATGGCTGGCATGAAGTAAATTTTCGATTAAGAAATGTAGAATCGGGCAATGAAAGTACAAATGCGCTTTACACAATTGATGTGTGTATGGATTGTAATAAGAGTTGTATGAGCACCTAATAAAATTAAAAAAAAAAAAAGTAGAATCCCCCAAGCTTGCTACTTGCTCTGCAATCCACGGGAGAAGCAAACAAACTCACTGCCAACTGAGTCAATTGCTACTCATAGCTGTCACATAGGCAGGGGAGAAGGCCTCCTATCTTTTCCCCAAGCAGCAGCTTGTGGTTTCCAAGCCCAGCTTATAGTCTACGACACACCACGAGGGCTCGTCCAATCCACTGGAAGCATACCCCAAACCTGGGCATCTTCTTAAATGCCTTTAGGTCTTTGAACCAACTATTTATTGTTCTACCTGGAAACCACCCAAGGACTGCCCTGAAGGTTACCACCTTCAAGATGGTCTGCCTCATTTGTTTCTGCTGTTGCACCTTTGTTTTCATCACAAGCATCGGTCTACTTTTTGTTTGGCACACAGTGAAGTGCTCGGCAAATACTCTTCCCATAAACCACTTCCTCTCCCAGGACCACGGAAACCTCAAAGGCAAGTCCGCAGTTTGATCCTGAACAA